CGTGAGAGCACTTTCTGGTCTGGCATCCAGACTGAAACAGGCGAGCTGCGTGTGCCGGGATCGTGACTGGGTATTGGGGGAGCCCACCTACTTGCAAAGGAACAGCGCTGTTGGCAAGTGGTGCTGTGCAACGGTTACGAAGCGTCTTGTGCAAGGATTTCCCCAGCACTGAAGAAACCAGTATGCCCCTGTAGGAGCTACAACATTGTTTTGGCCCCTTGTGTTTCCAAATAAAGTAAAGGGTTCCGCCCTTGTGTTGGACGGGTTCACACAAGCGGAAGGCAGACTTAAGGAGCAGCTGGTAAACGGCTTTCGCAAGGTGGGAGGCCCCATAGTGCAGGACCTCGCCAGGGATCCCGTCGAGCCCAAAGGCTCGATCCGTGCTAGATGCCCTTAGCGCAGCCTCGAGTTCGCCAAGGCTGGGTATGTCCGCCGGAGTGACAGTGTAATCCGACAGATCCTTGGCCTGTTGTCTGCGGTAGCAGTCATGGACGAACTCAACTGGGTCCTTAACCTGTCCATCCTCGATGGAAGAGAAGTGGGATATCCACTTTTGTTTGGCCTCCTGGTGCGTGGTAGCCAGGGTTCCCTGTTCGGTCTCAATGGCAGGCAGCGGAGTGGCTCCTTTCTGCTTGCGCTTGGGCCCACCGGTAAGGACTCGAAGACGCTGGACAGTGTCGCGCGTGGAGTCTGTGGTGGCCTTGACGGCAACCTCGTGTAGGTAGTCCTTTGTATCCTGCCGGATTAAGCATCGGAGCTGAACACTAGTGGAGCGTAGAGCGGCAAGGTGACCTGGCAAGTCCCGCAAACATTGCAGCCATCTGCTCCAGAAGCGGGAGTATGGCGCCCAAATGGTGCCTGTCCCCCTCCATGCACGCCATGAGCACGCGAGAGAAAAGCTGCGACCAAATCTGGATGCTGATTGGATCCGCTTCCTCAGCCAGGCTCGTTGGTTACGCAGTTGCCAAGTGGCCGGCTGCAGGTAAGGTTTGTGTTGTATTGCGCGCTGTGCCGGGAAGGCAACCGGCAACAGGCATCGGAAGTGCTGCTCCACTTTAGCAGCATGACGATGGATGTCGAGCTGCCAAGGCTGCTGTGGGAGTGATGAGCAAATCTGACGCAGCTTTTCACGGCCTTCCGGGGTGCCAATAGCAGTTGTATCGATGCGCACTCTTCGTCCATGTTTTGGTGCATGGAAAAGGATATGGGACACAGCACGTGTGATAAGGGCATAGTGATCAACTCTTGCCTGTCCCCATTCCAATTCGTGCAGTACTCGGCTACCATCTGCGGCGACGTGCCATGTTTCAGGCAGCGAGATGTAGTCCAACCTCGATGTGGTTGTGCCCCCTGGCGACTGCCAAGTTTCGGTGGGGCCGGGGTGACAACAGGAGAATGTGCTGGGGATCCACTGGAGTGCGTCTTCTAGAATGTTCCAAAACGCCTGAGGGGGTGGTGTAGGTGCAGGCCAAGTCAGGTCCCCAACTCTATCCGCACAAGACCTATGCAAATGGAGATTGAAGTCCCCGAGCAAAACAAGTTGCGCGTCCTGCCTAAGGCGACCGAGCAGGACACGGAGATCCTGCCACCACTTGTTGCGTTCAGGCGATGCATTGGTGGGGGCATGAATCGCAACAAACAGAACCCGCACGCTGGCGCGCGCAAAGCGCACGGCAAGTATGCGTGGGTCCCAATGGACCGCAACAAAGTCACCAAGCTGGAAGAGAACATCGGTCTTGTTGTGTTTTATGAAGGGTTCGGTTCTCGAGAACCAAAGTTCAACCCCATACGAGCCCTGAGCATCACACGCACTACAGAACCGTATGTGTGTCTTTGACTGAATGGTCTCATTACGAGAAGCCCGTGTCTCCTGGAGTGCTGCTACTCCAACGCCGAGCTCGACGAATTGCTCCCTGAGCAGTGCAGCCCGCCCCTGAAAGGGGACGGCCGGAGGCTCTGCGGTGGGCTCAGCCTCCCGAGGATGCAGTGACTGTACGTTGACAGTTACCAGGACAATCTGAATGACTGCCCATTGCTTGCCGGAGTCTTTCTCGGGGGGTGCCTGCAGACCAAGCATTTGCTCGCACTCTGATCTGGTGGGAAGCACACCGCCGCCGTCGCCCCGATCTATAAACGAGTCAGCAAGTTGTCCCGGCCAATTCTGTGGGCTGCGCTGGGAATCCAGAAACAACCAGAGCCAAGGTAACCACCCTCTTCGCACAAAGCTGCAAATAGGGTGCGAAGCCCAGACCTTTCCGGTCGTCCGAGGATCGCAGCATTTCTTGGCGAGGCGATCTGCTACCTCGTTGCCTAAGTGCCCTACGTGGGCTCGAATGTGTCTCACATTGATTCGAGAAGGCGATTTAGCAGCCTGCAGGGCATGCATTGCAGCCCGGCAGAGGTGGGCAGCATCCTTTCCGCGAAACTGACCTACCGAACCTTCTGACAGGCCGATGGCGGTGGTACAGTCAGAGAAGATGGTGACTTCGACCTCGGGTGGTGAGGCGAGCAGCCAGATCAGGCACCAAAACAGGGCCGACAGTTCCCCTTCGAGGGCTCCATGCGAAGATGCACCAAGGAAAGTTGGCTCGCCGGAGTCAGTCTGTACCCGGTCACCGATCCACCCGATGTTGTGCCATTCCCCAGCAACGCTCCCTATGGCATGGAAAGCCCATGAACTAAGTTTGCCATCATACGATCCATCCGTGTAGATGACAATGGAGTCACAATGTCGGACTCCTAGCGCATCGGGAAGAGGCGGGCAACGGCGAGCCCATTCTGTTATAACATCAGACTCTTTGGACGGTAGGGGCCAAAGATCGTCCGGGTCGCGGTGAATAAGCTGGGCAACGTGGTCAAGGGTGCATCCAACACGCATGGTAACCCCAGTCAAGTCAAAGGTCCTGACTCCAAGGTGCTGGTCCAGGCGCAATGTCCAAGCCTCAGGGGCCCCCGTCGGGCTGTGTATGGCAGTCGGCTCAGCGGGGCACCCGTCGAAATGCTCGTAGAGGGCCTCTACGAGGGTACTTGAGAGGTAAAAGTTCTCTGACTCGGGGCTCAAGATGGCTTCTTCGAGCAGCGTAGTCAGGGTCTCGATCTCACATTCATGAAGCAATGGAGATGCGACCTTCGCACCGCCGTTCAAGGCCCTGGCTGGCGTGGGGATGGGCCTGCGACCCTGTGCATCGGGGTTGCCGAACTTCGCCCACATGACGGGTAATTCAATATCACCTCTCGTGCTGCTGGTGATACATTGAGGGGGTAATTGCACTGCGGAGACGTGTGCAATCAGTGCGCTGCAAACCAAACTCCCGGCAAGGAGCGTGCGAGCTAACCTGTGAGAATGGACAGGTAAGACGGC